AGTCCCACAGCTGGAACCGGTGGCTTGCAAAAGGGCGACGCCCACTCCGCTCTGGACGCCGCCGTAATCTCACGCGAGCTATGTGGAAAAAACACAACACCCACATGCACCGTTCAAATGTGCGACTACATCTCTCATCAACGAGTGTATTGACGCCTTGGATGTATGCCTTTCACACAAGGCACTGACTAACGCGGAGCCAGAAACTTGACATTCTCAGCTCTCCTAGAACGATCAAAACACCGAACGTAGCATGTGTCAATACAAACATTTATCACTTGCTCGCCCAAGAACAACCATGAAAAGCGAGCATATGCCTACCGGGCTTCACATGTGTGCAGGCGTGTCGTGAGCAAGGACGTTGCCGTCTTCCCTTTTTCCAGGACCCGTGTACATCACATTATTCAAAGTACCCACCATTTCTAACCTCTTGTACATGTCTGTTTGCGTCATGGTCATGTCGCCGCGTTATGACTGTCGATGCGCCCGTTAACGAAGGTATAAGAGAAGCCCCATAATGCGGAATGACCTGATCAAGTGCAATACAATACACATACTAAAAGTGGCATGCGACGCGGGTCAGTCTACCTGTCGGCTAGCTTGAGCTTTTGGGCTGCTGTAAATCACGAGTCAAGCAGCGGAGTGAAATGCGCTTCTAGGGAGCTACATATATAGCCAGATGGTGAGTTGGTAATGCACTCTAGGATTAGCAACAGAGCTCGTGAAGTCCCAAACAAGGAAGCTCTTATTGCTCGGTCCAGCTAAGGTACGCTGGGCCGTATGTCGGGTGTGGCCATGTTGCCACCGTTCGCATTCTGATCTGGTGTTTGCTTTTTCTACAACCCCAGCTCGCGCCAAACGATTCAGTGGATACAAAATCAGGTTCACCATAGGTTAAGCGACGAACGGTTGAGGTTAAAAGTAACGCGCTCCGCGTTTTGAAAATAGCTTGCGAACGGTGCCAGGTAGACATACCGCATAGGGTCAGCAAATCATAGCATACCATAACATAGGGACAGTAAGTCAAAGCGGATTGAGTGACTTGCCCTTGACCTGACATAATTTTGACTACTGATCTGACTTTGAATGCCTGCCTTTTTGTTTTGTTGCCGGCTACCATGCTGCGACATCCGTTTTCCGGATGCCAGGAGGCGGTGGAACATGTTGGCGCGTTCCCCTTTGAGGTATTTTGCGGGACCTGTAAAGGCATCATTCATATGTCTATGTCATATGTCTATGCCACACGTCATGCCAGATGTATTTTCAATAACTCCGAGTGAACACAAATATCTAGGGCCATCGATTGCCATTTGGATTGGTCCGATTCAGCGATGAGATCCTGAGAGACGGACTACTATTAGCTCCGCCGGGCTGTATCCTAAGAGATGCTGGGCTGAGTGCGCCCCAGCGCACGCGAGCGTCACGCGAATCTTTCAACGTTTTCTCCTGATACTGGGCGTAAATTAGTTCGTGGACGCGTCACGAATAAGCCGCTTTTACTCAATCATCGTCGCACATTCTGGCCATGCAGCGTGTTTATGAATCATTCATCGTTATCTCACCTAAACTTCCGACCAAATTTTATGATTCCGCTGCGAGGTCTTACATGTTTTCCTTACACATGGTTCGACGCTTCCCCACATGGACGTAATCCCTTACAACAAACTAAAAAGCAATCACCAATATAGGTGTGAATATGCGATATGTGAACATGTAGACCCATTAATGTATAGATAAGATACGAGTACAAAAGTGAAGCGCTCAAATGCTGCCATTGCAGGGGTCACCTATGTCGCCACTAAGTGTGATTGTGAGGTGAGATTATTGGAACGTGGGCTGTAAACTCTTGATTCAAGGCTTCCTCTTAGCTGCAATAACCCAAACATGAGCTTGAATACAAACCCGAATACTGGCCGCCTTACATTCCAGCCCATTTTATGTGCAGTCTTACCCATTCCTGCGCAGTTTAGCCTATTCCAACCCGAACCCGAACACTGAAAGTCATCCCAGTCCAGCCCAATCCATGTGCGATGTAGCCCACTCCATGTGCAGTCTAGCCCATTCCATCCTTGCCCACATGTGCCTGGTTCCCAATATTTGGCATAATGCCAGCGCGTATTTTTGGTCTTGCTGGTTCTCTTTGCCTAGCATCAAGCTGGATCCTGGTTCTTGTTGATTCCTCGGTTTACGTCCAGATTGGCTTCTAGGTTCTCCCAAGTTCCGGACCCAAGAACCAGGAACCGGCTCTCAGGAAGAAATCTCGGAACCAGCCACATGTCTTTCCACGTGAAACCAGCTCCAAAAGTGTCGCAGCATCACATCAGCAGTGTTGCCAACAGTAAACCAGCTAGATGGTGCTTGACTTCGTTGTTGACATGGGTGGACCGGGCGCCCATGCTGTACTTCGCCACGGCGAAGCATGAGCCTGCGTTAGGCTGCACCGCAGCTGCCGCCTGTACTGCAGGACAAACAACCCACCGGCTAAAGCGCTTGAGCCAATAAATCCAGAAATCGAAGAGCCGAGTTAAATGCCGACGCTCGCGTGAGAACATCAACGCAATTTAAGTCAGTAAACTAATCAGCTTTGTGCAGATCACGCATCAATAAATGCTACAAACCGTTCGCTGCTATAACCACACCTACACGCAACTCCCCCCACACACACAATTTACCACACAGTCTTACTCGTTTACACGGTTCAGGAGCACGTGCAGGCAGAGAGGTTGGCCTGTCAAACAGATGACATCTCCCACTCCCCAAGCAGATGAGAGTGCCTTGGTTAAACATCTTGAGTTGCTGCACGAGGACCAAAGTGCCTAACGTCGCCCACCCGCGCATCCCTGCTCCTGTGTCCGAGCCTGGCCTGAGCTAAGCATCCCAGGTCGTGTCGCTCAAAGCTCAGCAATGGAATCGGCTGGCAACGAGCCGTCATTTTATCCGCACCAATAACAGAGCGAAACTTGACCTGCTGATGATATGGGATCTCTCCGCTGGCAGCTTGGCGCAACTGCGCGCCGTGCTCTGTGCGGCACGTGGGATGGGATTTCAGTCCAGAGTGAGGCGGCGCATTGATCTGAGGCCTCGGTGGTGGCTTTCTATGGGTGCACGTGGGGAAGCCTCCCTAAAGAATGGCATGGTAAAAGGCTGTGTGTAATTATGCACGTAGTCAAGGTTCGTTGATGGGAGAAACGTCAGTGGCAAACAACTTTGCACATTGTCTTATGCCACTGGCCGAAGAAGCTTTCACTATCGTAGTGGCATGCATCCCAGCTTCATCGCTCCCTGGGAGTGGGACGAATCGTGCAAAAGTCACTGCCGTTTTATGACTTACAAACAAATTTTCAAACTCACGAAGCAAGGGCAACATGAAGTCAAACTGGCTGACCCGGTCGACTTTTCCCAAGAACAAAAACCCACATTTTTATCAATGGGTTTATTTGTAGAGAGTTGGCGTAACAATCTCTTTAAAAATCCCGGACCTATTTTACCAACTAGTATTTGCTCTCCATCGTGGCAGTTCAAAGGCACCTGGGAAATGTTTTGAAAAGACTGTGAGATAACGAGGGTAACGTGCTTTACAAAGCGCGTTAATGATCTTAAATCATGGATTTAAACCGATGTTTTTGTCACCCTAATCAGTCCCTAGGATATGGCGGATTAGGTACCAATTTGCATCAACATGATCATACGTGGCAGTGTTTGGAAACGACAAATTCCTTCATGCAATTCAATTAAACAAGCTGGTAACGAAAGCTGAAAGGATTTCATGTTTTGCGCACATCAGGGAAGTGGCCTTTGATAGAAGTGGGCAGCGTTACTTCACAGAGTGCTTTACTATATCGCTAGTACTAATGCTATTACTACTACGTACCATGATTTTACCATTCGTGATTGGAATTATGATGGCTTTGAAGGCAAGATCAGCCGATCGCACGTGGATGAATGCCTACATGACGTCAAGCTCAGTAACGTGACATTCGCTTTGCGATCGTCTGGTCATTCCCTGCGATGTGCACGCTTTATTTTCCATAATTGTGCCACAACAAACTGGCAAGGGCACTGTGCCACAGAGCTCACCAACCAATGGAATTGTATGATGAACATAAAACATTGCACAGCGCATGTAAATGACAAAAAAAACAGCTAAGCCTGCGCAAAATTACGAAAACGACCTATCAAATAATATACAATCATGTCTTTTCCGTAGGAGCCCTGAGCGAATAAAGTGACACCCACGTTTCTTTTATTTGGTACGAGCTCGGAATAAGCATGGCGAGTATTAAGTTATAATTGTTAACTGCTGCTATCTTCATTTCAAGTGAAAGGTATGACGTACATTAGCATAAATGTATTGCAACGATACATTATAATGCATGTTTCCCATACAATTTCCGCGACTTCGGTCAGATAAGCATCGGATTCGTAACCAATTGCAAAACCAGGTGCTCAATCAACCACGAACGGTCGCAAAATCGTGGCGCGACTTTATGTACACCACGGTGTTTCCGCCCACGTGGCGCCAGGCGCGAAAAGTAGGCGAGGACCGCATGTGACGCATGGGGATGCAAAGCCATGATGCCTGAGGGCAACTTTACAAAGCATGACAGAGCGGAACATTCATGAAGCTTGTCTGAAACAGCAAAATGCGCTTGTCGCTTTGTTGGCAAGGAGGCTGGGAATCAAATGAAGTAAGTTAAATCGACTTTATAATTTGTTTAAGATTGTAGGATGCTCTGAGGCATCGTTCAGAAATACACGCAACGTCAGAAATTGCCGGACAGGCGTTCGCCGTAGCAATGATTTCCCCGAAAATGGGGGTTTCTGACGGTATCTTTGGTGTTTAAATTTGTTGAGAAAATTACTAGGTGATAGGCAGCACCGAAACAGTTAAAGAATGGCGCATATCATTCTATCTCCGTGGACTGGCGTGGAACGGATCACATTGTTTTCCTATCTGGAATCATGTTTGCCACAATGGAGATGGATGAGGATCACCTTACCTGCGTTAGAGTATTTCAGCGCTTCTCTGCCTCTAATGATGCTGTTCCCCTGCTGACCTGTTCTTCGTCACTGCTGCAGGGATCGGTGCACCACAGCGGGGGATGCAGCACCGCTGACAGTCGGCTCCTTAGGCGAGCACGAGGGGGTCCCCACTCTGGAGTTTAGGGCGCGTGCCGCGCACGGCGAACTGCACCAGGGGGAGCGCGAGTCAGACGCAGGAGCCTGGCGGCCGCGGGGCGGCTCACCCCGGCCCTGGAGTGTCCCACCGAGCGAACCGAGCGACGCTGGTCTGCACTGGGTCACCTCGTCCCCACGAGCGCTACTCGCTTGGCGCCGAGTCCCGGACACGCCTGTCCAACCGCCGCGCGACCGAACCGGAGCCGCGGGGCCTCAGGAGCGGACAGGAACGAGCGCCCGCAGGCTGTGAACGCGACCCAGACAGAGCTGGAGAGCCACCGCCCGGAGATCGCCGCCACCGCCCTCGTCCTGCGCACGTCCGGCCCTCACCGCCGCCCGTTCGACGTCGCTCGTCCGGACCCGGTCGGGCGGCGGCGGCGCGAGGGGCACGTCCGCCCCGCTCGGACGTCGGCGCACGGCTGCGGGCGGCCGGGCGGCGCGGCCCAGCCGTCGGCGCACGCTCCAGTGCGGACCGTCGTCAGCGCGAATTAGCCCGGCCGCTGCAGACAGCAGCGATGAGAGCGTGGTCAGCCGAGCCGGCCCGAGGGGGGGGGGGAGGAGGGGGCGGAGCGGAGGGGGGGGGGGGGGGGGGCAGGGCGCTGCTCGGGCTGGGTGTGGAGTAGAGCTATCGAGTTGTTTACATGTTTTGGCGCAGCGGTCTGTTTGGAATTCAGTGCACGGGGAGGCGATGATGCGTTTGGCTTTATTAAAGCATTGGGCAACAAGACCTTTCGTACTCAATTTGTTTAACAATGCGCTAAAACTCAAAGCCGGGTTCAAGGCATGAACAAACCGGTACTAGCGCGAAATATCGTCTCAAGCTCTTTATCATGCGCTGTTATTGTCGTTGTCAAATGATGTCTCATGAATCGATCTGAGTTCCATGCGTGGAGGTTTGATAACGTCTATGAATAAAACATGTCCTAGGAATAGTATTCAAAGCTGGGCTTGGAAGAACAGAACAGTCTTATTCAATAACACGCACAATAGTGTGTTCAAACACTGAAAGTGCTGGAAACGATTGCAACCATCCAAATTAACTGTTGGCTGCAGTTCATTTGGGAGCTATGCAGGACTGATGCCTAGAAATATTTGGTTAACACGTGCTTGGACGGCCGGCTGAATGCCCTTTGCTAGAGTATTGATGATGATGGTCAATGGTTAAAGAATCCAAGATGGCCAATTTGGCCCCCGAATAAGAGAGCTAAATGCACCAAATTGATAGGGTGGATTGGTCTGTACGTGAACTTACAGTCGTCAAAACTTGAGGTTTCTGGGAAACAAACTTTGGATCAAAAAGGGTCAAAACAAAATAAATTTCCAGATTGGTGCCCAAGGTCCCGGGCCTCCTATTGCAACCGCCGTGACCTAGATACCTAATTTAAGCAAAAGGTTACTGGTATTTATATAGTCAGTGACCTTGCTTGAACTTGAGAAGGTCGTGGTAGCAACAATTCTATGGTATTGTTTTGATTTTTCCTCTTGAATGAACGTTAAGGAATGAACGCCATGCGGTATGTTCCTAAAGCAAAATGTTGACCTCGGCCATTTCAGGTTACTAAACTACTCTGCCCTTTAAGAAGTCTAAGTGGGCACCAGAAACTATCCCATACAGCAAGCTCTCAAGTAAAATAGCAGTTTTGTTCTGACCTCGGTCTGACCATTACACACAATCATGAGCCAATGGAATTTGTTAAAATCCTGGATTAAATTTCTGTATTGCCCAAGAAACTATCTCAGAGTTCTATGTACGGATTCGTACGGACACTCTGCTGTCAGATCAGATTAAACGATTCCCTAGAAATCGCCTTGCTGACAGCCACGGCCTGAATTTGACCTTCCATAAATCAGTGACCTTTCAAGATACATCTAATACTTCATATCACAAGATACGCCATTAGATTGCCTACAGCGTTGGTAAATTTGGAGCTGTTCAGCCGCGCTTTTCAGAAATTCTTCCGGCAAAACCTTCCGGGGAGAGGAGGGGGGGGGGGGGGGGGGGCGGCAAACCAACGCCCTCAGCCGAGTGAGCGCCAAAACAAGGCCACTTCTTTTTGTTGGACGCAGTGACAGAATTTCATCAAATTGCATGGTATGTGAAAAGGGCAGATTAAAATTATGCGCAGTTTTCTCTTTGTTGAAATTTCAACTAGTTTTCATCCGACATAATAGCTGAGTCGACCAAGAAGTACTCAGACTTTTTTTGTTCCGAGAACGAACCGACAGTTTTCATTCCAACAAGGAGCTTTCTCACCCCACAAATCTCAACGACCTGAAATACAGACACTTTTGCACGTCGTCTTATACTGTAACGGTATGGGCTGAAGCGATGCATTAGTAAAAGCGCTCTTCCGTACCTTCCAGCAGCGAGTGTATCTTTGAGAACAAACGTACATAATTATTTCAGTGTGATGAATATAAACCTTCTGACAAAGCAAAAAGTCAACAGTTATATCAGAAAAGAAGTGTGTTACTTTCCATATCATTAACCCAAAGACGATTTTTTCTCGGTTGGCTTCACAAGGTTTGGAGCTTGGACATCCAAAACAAACATTAGATGATCAAGGCCTCCATGGACGCATAGGCTCCACATATAGCTGTTGGTAATAATGACATATAATGTTACTTGGGTTATTTTATTAATGACACCAGGTGTTTTAAGCTGTTTGGCGTGCAAATGATTCATGAGCAAGATGAATATCAACTATACATGGGGAAAACATCCAACGCCGCCACACTTTTTATGGATATCGCAATTTAAGTCGCTATAATAGTGGTAGCTTATACCTTAAGGTCGTGGAGAAATGACTTTGAGAAAATAGCAAGAACCAGCTTTTTGAGCAATACAACATTTTACAATTATCAATTTCAAATGGAGCTGCATGACAAATCTTCACGCATCACATTTGTGCCAAGCCTCATCGAGTGAGGTGTGAGTGGTTGTCTGGCCTAATTCAGCCTGTGCCAAAGGCCATTTGTTCCAGAGTTGATCAGACGGGAGACACCTTTCGAACAAGGAGGCCCATATTGGCCAGATGATTGTTCCTTCACAATTCAACGCGCGATTATGAAGTCAAACGTTCAAAGCTAGCACTGTGCAGCCCGAGTCCAAATTGCAATGCCAAGATGCACCACTGTTTCTCTAGCCTGTGGTCTGATATTATGTAAATATGACTCTGTGAGGGAAAACATTACTGGCAGCTGACTAATTTAATCCTTCATTCAAGTCTAGTAGGACTGCTGGTATTTTGCCAAATTAGCCCTGGCACAGTGGAAGCTAATTCGTCATGGTGCCTCTCAATGCAACATACGGTCACGTAATCATTTATCCGCAGATAGCGCTTATGCCGACAGTGTAAACGCGTTCCTAGCTGCCGCGCGCCGCCGTTAACAGTGTTATGGTCGTGCACTGCTGTTTATCACATGTTCCCAAATGGTTGGGCATGTTCTCATGTTCTCGGGGCAGGGTATAACGCCTGAAGGCAGAGTTTGCTCCGAGTCAGTAGCAAAGAGACAACGAGTGAGCGGCCAAAACACTAGATGAGTCCCGTCTCGGAGCATGCGTTCTCCGCGCTCGCCGTGCCCTTCTCATTGCGTCGCGGAGCATGCGTTCTCCGCACCCGCTGCGTCTATCCCGCTGCGTCGCGGAGCACGCGTTCTCCGCGACCGCTGTGTCTATCCCGCTGCGTCGCGGAGCACGCGTTCTCAGCGCCCGCTGTGTCTATCCCGCTGCGTCGCGGAGCATGCGTTCTCCGCGCCCGCTGTGTCCATCCCGCTGCATCGCGGAGCACGCGTTCTCCGCGCTCGCCGTGTCCATCCCACGAGGAGCCGTGCAACGCCGCAGACCTGTCAGCACCGTGCCCTGCTACAGCGCACCCAAAGCCATTCCCCACAACACTCACCGTAGCCGCGTCACCAGCTGAGCGGTGGGCAAAAACGGTCCCGGCGCGACCGGAAGCTGCGGCGGATTTCGCCGCGGCACGCCAGCCTCGTCGCGCCCGGGCGCGCAGCGGCGGCTTTTGTTACGCGCCACGGCGAACTCGGGGATTTTCGTCGGAGCCGCCGTCGAGCGGCGGGGCCGTGGCTGCCGGGCAATAACGGCTCGGCGGGCACCGCCGCCGCCCAATAAGCCGTCCGGCCGCGGCTAGGCTCCGGCCCGCGGCTCCTGCGAGGCGCGAGACGATCCAGACCTGGGCGGCCGCGGTGCGCCGCTTCTGCCGTCACCTCTGGCCTTGGCTCTCGCAAGGTGAGGTCTGGTCTGGTCCGGCCCGGTCGGGTCTGGGTCCGGCTGACGCAGCGGAAGACCAAGGTCTGGTCCGGCTAGCTCGCACCTAGCGCTGGTATTCACATGCTGAGACCTGGCTTGGCCATAATGGTCGTGTCTGGCTTGGACTACGGCCTGATCATCCAAGCATATTGGGGCCGGTTTTCACCGGTTTTGGTCCTTGATCTGCACTGTCAGCGGCAGGTCATAATGCCTGACAATACCTTGCCGGTATTTTACCGTCACGTGCACCGCGTACGCACGCGGTACACGTGACCAGGTCACGCCGGAAAAAGCGAGGCGTCGGAGCCGACCGGCTGCGAGGCGCCAGCCTCTCTGCATCAGTCGGACGGCGCAGCTGGACGTGCTGATGACGACGGGTCGTTCATCACGCCGTGGGCTGGTTCATTGCCGCGTGGCGCCCTGCGACTGCAGCGGCAGATATGCGATACGAGAGAGAGAGAGAGGAAGAGGGCCGCATCGATCGCGTCTCCTGGCTCCCGCTGGTCGCGTCTCCTGGCCTGTGCTGGTCGTGTTTCCGGGCATTTGCTGGTCGCGTCTCCTGACCTTGACTTGTCGCATCTCCTGGTCTCTGCTGGGTGTATCTCTTGATTTATAATGGTCGTGTCTCCTGTCCTTTGCCGGGCACGTCTCTCAGCCTCTACTGGTCGCGTCTCCTATCATATGCTGGTCGCGTCTGTCAGCTTGTCCTGGTTGCGTCTCCTGATCCCTGCCGGTCGCGTCTCCTGACCTGTGCTGGTCGACGCAAGTGTAAGTCTCTCGGGATAACAGTAAGCTGGATCGCGGGTGGCGTGGGATGTAACTCCATCAGTTCATGTCACCTTTTTGCTTTTCCGCGGCCTTTCAGCAGAGGTCTTGTTATATTTTGCGGCATTTTTATCCGCATTATTTTCATCCGCTTTCTTTATGTAATAGAGCAAGCTGTGCTGGCTGTCATCGTCGGCCAGGCGGAATACTCAATTTCATCTTTTTTCATCTCTTTCAATTTCATCTGTTTGCCCACCATTGCACCACTGTGTGAGCCTTGCTATGCCGGAAGCATTAGCGATGAAAAATGACTACGCAGGAATCTGATGCGAGACGGCCAGGTTTCCGGGTGG